GGAGAAAACGATAGCGGCAAGGAGGGGTGAAGTGAAGACCATCATATTTCCTGCAGCCAACAGGAAGGATTTTGATGAGCTCGCCCCTAACGTAAAAGAAGGTCTTGATGTTCACTTTGTAGATGACTACAATCAGATTTTCGATTTGGCTTTCAGTGATGACCAGAGCAAAGAAAAATAAGCCTTCTTCCCCACTAACTCTCAAGATGGAGCTTTCAATTGCCATACATATGCGGTTGAGTGTTTGCTGTGACCCTAAAGGCAGGGCCATGCCCATATTCCTCAAAACAGACTCAGGCCAAATTACAGCTGAGATAAACCAACTGAATGAGGTGCTGCACAATTTTTTGTTATACATTTATTCACTTATATTATCCTACTATTCTTGTAAAATTGGAGCACCCATTTGCCTCATTTTGTAACAAGCTTAACATTATTCTTCAGCTGAATATTGACAATCTGAATGTGAACCTCATGAGATGGAAAAAGGTTTTTGAATTGGTCTGCTATTTAATAAATATGGAAGTTAAAGCTCTTATACTTCTTTTGGGGGGCTGGAGATGGATGAACCCAAAAAAAACAGTTTGAGATAGGTTGTTGTTTTGTGTGTTTATGATTTGATTGCATATTTAATGAATTTTTTTAATCCAAGATAGGGTGTGTCATAATATGCTGAGTGCTATTTGACAAGGATCTTTGATTTTGTTGTCATTGACACTTGGGTTGGGTTCAGAAAGAAATGGGTCTCTGCCTCATTGGACAGTTATTTAGAGAGAGTGGGTCGGTGACATCTTTGAGTACTCGTCAACTGTTTTGGAGAAAAAAAGAAAAAAGCCCTCTGGTGAGTGTGATTTTGGAGATTAAGACTAGACCTCTCTGCAATCTTTGTCACCAAGAGTACTTTATATATTTTTTCTTTGTTGTTCTTGTTGTGGTGGTGTCCCTTCTCTCTCTTTTCACTCCTCTTTTTGCCCTCCAATCAAAACCCATCATCAAGATTTGGACTTTGCCACCCATGTCATCTATAAGATTTTAGTTTAGTATTTGGATTGGATGCATGTCTTTTGTATCAAGTATCAATCCAACCTGAACAACTTCTATAGTGTATCATAAATCTTTTTGTTAGACTGTCTGATGTGCTACGTTATTATATTGTTAATCTCAATAATATAATATAATTCAGTTGTCAACACATTATTATATTGTTAATTTCAATAATATAATATAATTCAGTTGTGTATTCCGACGGTATCTTATAATTTCTCAAATTATATGATAACCAAACACTATTCTGCAAATTATTGGTTACAGATTTTCTTGTACTTACTAATATTGTAAGGCTATTGGATTCTCACGTCCACTAAAGTGGTCTTACATACACTAATTAGTATCTTTGACACTTTGATATCGTTTACAAATAAACAAAACAAACATTAATCGCAATCATGATGTGATGAAAGATTACATTTCCTCTGATGTGTCATCACGCGTGCCCATACTATTAATCAGCTGGGCTGCACATAATCCAAAAAAGTGATCTGGATAAGACATTTTAATTGCATGATCAAAACCAATATCTGAAAATCATTGCCGATAATCATAACCAAAGATCAAACTTATCCGGATCCAGCCGTAAAAAAAGATACTACTTGGGAAACCCCTCTGACTCTTACCAAAACTGAAAAAGCTGAAGCCTGCAAGAAAGAAAGATAGTTTCCATTTCTGAAGGACCCCATTAAAATTTCATGCATGAACCTTCGAGATTAAGTAGCAGCACGCCAAACACCGGGGAGAGAGAGAGAGAGAGAGAGAGAGAGAGAGAGAGAGAGAGAGGGTCCACAATGGGTCATAGTTCCACCAAGAAAATGAAAGGGAATGTTTGGTTTCAAAGCCTCACAGAAACGGGATCCTAAACCAGTTGAATCTAAGAAACCCATCACTATCAAAACTTGTGCTTGGCTCTTATTAAAAATAAGAAAGAAAAAAAAACTCTAAGATTAAAGCATGTGCGTTCTTATCAGTCAAAAGTGGAGGAAATTTCTTGCAAATAAAATAGACCCTATGAAATTGAAGCAAAGTGACTTCATCTTTTTTCTGCTTTTCCTTTATATGGAAAATATAGCAGGCGCCTAACCTCCATTATCCACTCTAAAACTTTTGCAGCAGCCAACCCCGTGACCCTAACTTGCATTGCATGTGAGCCCTTTAGCAAACTAATCTATATCACATATATATTTCCACATCATCATGTAAAACTTTGCAAGCACAACTTTGTTTTCTTGTTGGCTTTTTCCTTAATTTTTTTGTGAATCAATGGAAATCTGTAAGCTGGGAGAGTCACATGCATGCATGCCCATGGTGTCTTGAGACAGAGAGACCATTGGCTTACAGTGAGAACCCAACATTCCCATACGTGGCTGCGAATTCCAATCTTTTCCATTATTGACAAGTTGATAGAGATTGACATGTGTCTGTGTTTGATTAACTTTGTAAGCTTTCATTAATGGCCATGTATATCAGTCACTACTAGTCTTTAGAATATTAACGTAGCAGCCCACTTGTATATCTATGCATCTCATTCTCACGCACTAATCAAAGTCAACTTAAGTCTTATTCTGCTTCCAATAATGCCAACTAGCACTTAATTAAGTGTAGGTGTATGTATACCATTTTTGTATAATTACGACATGTTTATTTATTTAGAACGAGATAAATCATTTATCGAAGACGATAAGATCAATGAGGAAGAGAATGAATAAGTATGAGATCAATTACTCTCCACTCATTACCTAATCTATCTAAATTCTAGTAGTTCAATTATTGAATTACGAATTGCGTTATTTGACACGACATACTTGTAAATTTCACAACATGAAATCGATAAAGTAATTATGAGAAGGGAATCATGTTTTTGATTGCCAGCTCATCCACTAGGCACACATTGATAATTTTTCCCTAATTAGGCAAGTGAAGCTATTATCTTGGATCAGCCATCCACTTAACAAATACACCAACTTTGCTGATGTATCAATCACTAGGGTTTTCATTAGAACATCAGCAACTTTAATGTCAACGTCATTCATCACTCAATCATCAATGGTCTTCTTTAGTCAACTTGCTTGATGATTTTGATTGTGTTTTCCACAATCAATGATTAATTTTTTTATCTTCATTTAATCCAATTGGTCAAGGAGCGTAAAACCCGAACACGTGGGGATTAACTATAAAATTCCCATAATGACGTGGTGTTAAGTGTTAATCATCTCTAGCAACCACATCCTATATATTCTCGTTAGTACACGTGTGTTCATCACCCGCTAATTAAATAAGAAATCATCCTCTTTCTTACGTCTTGTGTTGTGTGCTAACATATTGGTGCATTAGGCTAATTGTATATATAAATCCAAATTAGATATTTAGTGATGTGCATCAAATCTTCTCGACATGCCTTCGCTAATCACATGCCACAATTCTTCTAAAAACTATAATATTAGGGCGCAGCCACGCTCAACTACACAAAAACAATCATTATTGCCACCATACAAAAATAATAAATAAAAGCCAGTTATGAATAGCTCATTTGGTTGAGCTCTTCCACCTTCACTCATGTGGACGAAGGTTCGAAATTCCCAGACACTCAATAAATATTTGTGTAAACCCCATCTCTCAATTGCTCGAACTAAAAAAAATAACAAACAAAAAAGAAAGAAAAAGAGAAATTCCTCTATGTTTGTTTTTTCCTAAACACTTTGTTGTACAATTGTACAAGGCTATTGCACTAGATTTTGGGGTACTTGGAATGGCAAGACAAACCTCACAAACGTGAAGTACTAGGCAACTCGAGTATGGAAATTGGATAAGTTGAATAATTGTAGACATAATTTTTTTACTCCAAATTAAAAGTACTCTCTCACAAACACAACCAGACATTTTCTATCCAAACCAGTTGGTTCAAATTTCTCAATCTGCTAAAGTGAGTTTTATTACTTGCAGAAAAGAAGAAAAAAAAAAGAGGATAAACTTCACAACTGGTTCATGAATCATGCCCATTTCTTGGATTGTGATTGGGAAGGCCAATGTTCACTTTATTAATCCAATTATATTTTTCCTTATTTGGAAAGTATCAAATAAACCTAGTTTTTTTGTTGGGTTGACTTTTTTTTTTTTTTTATTATCTAGATGTTAGAGGTTGACTTTGATGGGGAGGTGGGAGGGGAGACATTTTTTGGAGTTCTATAATTAAGCAATCTTAAATAAAAATAGGTAATATGATTTCGTTTCCTAACAAACTTTAATTTAGAGTTTAAAACAACAAATGAGTCTATTTTTCTTTTCAGTTACATAAGTATATTCAATTTGTCTATTCATACTATAACTCATACTCTATACATGCTAATAAACTTGCTTCATTACGAGGGGGATTCGGGTGCAGAATGGAGGGAGAGCACTTCCGTCCTAGCCAACTTGACTAAGTCCAATTCATGCTTAAGCTATTTATATTTTTCATATTTTTGGTGCCTAATTTTGAATATTCCACCAAAGAAAAAGAGTGAAGAGGTTGAATAAAGCCTTTTGCGGAAAAGAAGAACACTATTTGTCACAGCTCACACTTCTAAATAGTTAATCAAACTTCTCTTTTTGGTGTAGGCAATAGTCAATAATTTGACATTATAAAATAAAAAAAAAAGCGAACTTTAAGCAGCAGTGTTTAAAAGAAACAAAAATTAATTTATCTAACTAAACAGTTCAACCAAAAATAAAATCCAAAACCAATCTCTTTTTCCCTCTCTTTTCAACTAACATACCTGAGTATTTGCCTTGAAACAAGGCATATAAAAAAAAATAAAAATAAAAAAATAAAAATGGAAATTTTATGTGGGGCCCAATGAAAAGAAGGAAAGATTCCACGTGTAAAAGAATGACCTCAGCAGTCCTGCGTCAAAAGGAGTTCTCCTCTCTCAACCTTTATAAGCCCAAAGCCTGAGTCAGCTTTGGCTCTGCAATTGTCACCCAAAGTCACATTCACACCCGTCACTTGCTCTGTTTTGCTCTGTTTCCCCTGTTCTCGCCGCTTCACTCTTTCCCTCTCTCTTTCTCTCTCTCCTCCAATTCCTCCACAAACACTTGTCTGGGACTTCAACTGAATCAAACTCAGTTAATCTTCAACTGGGCTTTGCCTAATTTCGTCATTTGCTCATCCGAAAAGACAGGAAAAAAGAAACCAGAAAAACCAAAATAAAGAAAATGGTTCAGGGGATTGGTTCTGATGGGATTTTCAGGTGGAACGATGATTTTGATGGCGGTGGTGGGTTTAGTGACGCTTCTGGTGCTTCTGAGCAGTCTCAGAATTCGGAGTCTTTGAAGCGTGATATTAGTTCTGCGTTTGCTTATGAGCATAATATCTCAGAAGCTGCAAACAAGAGGCTCAAGCAAGCTCCCATTGATTCTAATGAAAAGGTTTCTTCTTTACACTTTTATCATTTTTCCTTTTACCATTAATTCTTTTTTTTTTTTTTTTGGTTCTTTCAAGATTCTGATGCATGGATCTTGAATCTTGACATTTTTATGACTTTCATTGGTTTTGTGGGGTTTGGATTAGATTGAATCTTATGCATGGGGCTTTTTGGGTTTTGCAGGCTTTAACTTTTCCTCTCTTGTTGGTTTTTGTTGATAAAAGTTGGCATTTTGATTCCTCTTTCATTGTTGTTTCATTTTAATTGTAACTATTGGAAAAGTAAAAAACTAGAGAGAAGAAAGGTTTTCCTTATTTCTCTATCATTTCCCTCGTATTAATCACGTTGGCCTATTTTCCAGCAAAAACACGTTGGCCTTTCTTCTAGGTTTTTGTTTCTAAATTTCATTCATTTGAATAGGTTAACTGTGTATTATTTCCTAATTGTGTATTAATGTTTCTCATATGGAGTGAGACTTATGGTTTTTATTTATTTATAACGTTTTTGTTGCTGCATTCTTTGTAGGCTCAACTGGCTCAAATTCTCCTAAGCTTACGTCCTCTTGGTTTGAATCTTGGGAAGACACCCTCTTTTCTAGACTTAACAGAAATGATTGTGCCCCAGAAAAATACGAATATTCGAGCACCCGAAATTAATCATAATGCGTTTCAATTAATGTCTGAGAAGGAAAAACTGAAGGCTTCTAACTTCGGTGCAGCATTACTCAGAATTGGTTCATGGCAGGTTGGCACTTTGACAAACTGCAACACTTTGATTTAAAGTGGAGAAAAAATAAAACTTTTTGTTCATTAGATTCTGATTACAATATGTGCAGAGAGTAACTCAACATGAAGGTGATCTGGTGGCCAAATGTTACTATGCTAAGCGAAAACTGGTGTGGGAAATCTTAGATCAAGGTTTGAAGAGCAAGATTGAAGTGCAGTGGTCTGATATTTTATCAATGAGAGCTGTTATTGAAGAAAATCAGCCTGGAATTCTAGAAATTGAGGTTATATATTCTTCCTTATGATAATAGCCTTCATCATAACTATTAATCGGATTGAGATTTTTTCAGTATGAGGCATATTTTTTGTCTCGAGGTTTTGAAGTGTTGATGTTTTTGCAGTTAAGCCAGCCACCTTCTTTCCACCGGGAATCGAATCCGCTGCCAAGAAAGCATACCATGTGGAATGTGGCATCAGATTTCACCAACGGTGAAGCTCTCATTCACAGGTTCTTATCCTAATTATTTCTTGATATTTATAGTACTGATGAATTACACCAAACAGCAGAACTTTAGAATCAATGGTTCTCTTATCAAAATGCTTCACCAAAATAAGATTTGTTTAGCTCACTATATTGCCTATCTTCACTTTTTCATCTGTCCTTAAATGTTCAAGCACTTGAGCTGATGTAGCTTTTTCATAACGTTCTGTTTGCAGGAGGCATTATGTTCAATTTGCCCCAGGTGTTCTTGACAAACACTATGAGAAGCTCATACAATGCGAAATCCGGTTTTTCGAACTGAGCCAAAAACCTTTCCCAAGTCGAAGATCTCCCTACTTTCAGTCAGACTTCAATGATGGAATTGCAGAATTTTCTTTCAATTTTGATGGACATGGGCCAGAAATCCCCTCCAATTTACAGTTAACCTTTTCACCATGTGTCCAGACACGTTTGGATCCTTCTCAACAAATTCAAAGATATGAACAAGCCAAACCATCTCTTAGGATCAAGGATTCGACTTCACCAATATCAGGTACTTATATTGCTTCTTTCAACCATATATAGCTTTTCTTAGGCTTTCACCACATACACTAATGTTGTTTTCCCAAATATCTTGTGATGATATAGTTATGGATTTTTCTTCGACTTTAGATGAGGTAAACAGCAACCAAGCTGTTGAAAATCCACATATGCCATACTGGGATCAAGGAAGAAACACAGCAACGACCTACTTTGCAGAGTTTTTCGGAGGAGAGCAACTTCCAGGATTGGTTTCTGTTGCTGCAGCACCCCAAATGAATCCAAACATTTCCTTCCAAAACTTTAATGCATATGAGCAAGCATTGGAACGCGCTAATCTAGAGTCTCAAATGCTCGCTTCCATTGAAAACAAGTTGTTGCTTGAGTCACAAGCTGAGTTTAGTGATAAACAATTCATGATACAGGCCAACTCACTAATTGGATTCTCAGAGCAAGTGAATTCTGCAGTTGGAACTGGTTCAAGGCAAACAAACTATGGACAACAAATGACTGGTAACGGAAACTTGGTTCCCAGTGCAACTGTTAATGTACTCCAGCCTCATCCAAAGAGCTGGGTGCTGCCACCACCTCAACCAGCCAGCTGGGGGGTGCCGCCACAAGGTTCTGCCGAGAACTCAGAGATACATATGGCTGGGAACAACTCACTGCATTCACCTTTCTCTCAAAATCAAAGGATGGAAGAATTCAATAATTTGGCAAACCGCTGGAATCCACAAAGATGACCTGGGATAAGTGTATATTGGCTCAGTTTCATCCCTTTGGTTAGGTTAGTATTATTTTTGTGGATATCCTTGTAGAGAGGGATTATATAGTCTTGATCCCCTGTTTGTTTGGTTGGTTAGTGATTGCTTAGCATTTTTCCTTTTTAATTAACTTTTCCAAAAGCATTCAGGCTTCAGCGTTGGCAATGCTTCTGTCCAACAAAGAAGAGTCCGAGGGATGTTCTTGAAATTTGTTCAAGATTTGGGTATACATGCATTCCATATTAAAATCTCTCCAATTCCAACCTTCAAGGATTTGTAACATCTTGCTTAATATAATCTAATCCAAGCATAACAAATTTGACATCCAGTGATCATATAATTTAATCCAAATCCACCCCAAAAAAAAAAAAAAAAGATCATACAAAAAGAAATCCTCAACAAGTGGGGAGAGGGATGGATCCTCGTCAAATTACCAACTACAAAGTCATTAATTTAAAGCCCCTGTCTGCAGGGGACAAAGTATTTCTTCTTCTTATTCAACAAAATATACATAAACAAAGAGACATACACTAAACAAGTTAATTTGTGTTACAACCTTCAAGACCCAAAATCACAGCGCAGGTAATTAAAGAATGGCAATATGGAAGCATATACTCTCATCTACTTAGAGGAGAAGCAAAGCTAAAGTAAATGGTAAAAAGCAAAGCAAACACAACTTAGTCATCCTCCTAGAGTGGATATATAGACAATAAAAACTAAAACAAAACTAGTCTAACAAGATGGCTTCAAGAAGCAGTAAAATTCAAGTCTTCAAAACTTGTGAGTCTTCTTCAGGCACAACGGCTGGAGGTTCATCAGATTTAGCTGGAACTTGATGGTCTTCTCCTTCACCTTGTTCATTTAGTTCACTAAAACTCCTCTTCTTGGATGCAGAATTTGATTTCTCCTTCTCATGTGAATCACTTGCTGCTGTTTCCTTGCATTTGCCTTTGCCTTTGCCTTTACCTTTCTCTTTTTCTTTTTCCTTGTCATTGGCCTTTTCATTGGCTTCAGGAGGAGGAAACAGAGGCGGTTCACGGCCACTCAATTTGCTAAATACCCTTTCAACTGTATGGTTGATTTCCTTTCCCAATCCATTGTTGTCTAAAATTAACTCCCAAACAGACTTAGAGGCCTTCTCAAGCACTTGGGTTTCAAGCTCCTGCCTAAGCGCATCAAAAAGCTCTCTTTTTGTTTGTTTCTCGGCCCCAGGAGTGTTGAGAACTTTGCTCTGTTCCGCCATTTTAATGGTCGTCTTCTTCAGCTCTTCCTGCAAAACCCATTAACCATTACCATTATAATTCACAAACAAACGAACAATTATGCCCCAAAAATCTTAATTTCTTTTTTTGTTAAGAAAAAACTAAAATAAATAAAGAAAGAGATAGAGAGAGAGTGAGAGAGCGAGAGAGAGAATTACATTGGCTTTGAGCTGATTGATGATCTTTAACCTGAGAGCGTCAATGGTACCATCGTTCATCAGAGACTCTAATACATCTTCGGGGGTTATCACCGAAGAAGAACCCATTCTTCAATTCTCCTGCAAACCTACAATCTCGACACTCTCAAAGCTCCAAGCCCTAATAGTCCGATTCCAATTCCGATCCCTCTCTGCGCGCGCTCTCTCCCTCTCTCTGTGTGGCTCTGTGGAAGCCCTAATTGTAAACGACAGGTATTTTCTCGTTACTTTTTGGAATATAAAAAGAATGGGCTTGATAATGGACCTTCACTAAAATTTGGGCCCAAAGGCTCACAACGAGGCCCATGCTAGGATTTTTTCGTTTCTGTTTAAATACTTAAATATTCTAGGATCTTATTAGGAAATAGGGTTAATTACAATTTAGTACCATGTACTTATACCCTTAAGACATGTTAGTCCCCGTATTTTCAATTTTAACAATCGCATACCCTTAGTTTGTAAATTTTTTGCAATGTGGTTCCGCTTTTAGGGTTTCTGTTAGATTTCTCTGTTAACTGCCTACGTGGCATTGTGGGTCCCACATTTTTTAATTTTTTAATTTTAAATTGATTAAAATATAAATAAAATATTAAAAATCAAAAAATTAAAAAATTTCTCTCTCTCTCTCTCTCTCTGTAAAAATTCTCCCAAACCGCTGCGATTTTCTTCTCCCCTTCATTCCACCATGCCCACTCGCAGCCATCCTCCAAAACCCCCACCTCCAAACGAACCAAGACCCCAGCCGGCAACCACCCAGACTCCCTCCCTCTCCCTCTCCTCCACCTACCAACCACAACTTGGCGACCACTCTCTCCATCCTTCAGAGCTTGTTCCCACCGTCGCCGATGCTTTCCGGTGAGATCTGACGGTCTGCATCTCTCTCTCTCCTCTCCTCTCCTCTCCTCTCCGCTCTCTCCCTATCTCTCTCTCTCTCTCTTTGTACAATAAAAAACCAACATATTGGGAAAAAAAAAATCGTTGGTTTTTGAATTTGGGTGTTGAATGTGGTTATGAGAATTTTGGGTTGGCTTGTGTCTTCTCCCCTGTTTGGTAGATCATGAACTGATGGAAAGAAAACAAAAGGCAACAAGTTTTCTTTTCTCAAAGTTTGAGACTTTTGCAGTTTTGGTAAATTTCCCAGTTTTGCAAAAAAAAAAAAATCGTTGGTTTTTTGTGGACGGGGACTAGAGTTTGGAGTCGGGCAGAGGGAGAAGAAATCGGGTGGAGGGGGAGGGGGTCTGTGGTTGCGGGCTGGGGTTTTAGGTTGGTTTGGGTGCGGGTGGTGGTCATCGGTGAATGGGGGAAGAAGAAAATCGCGAGGGCTCTGGTTTTGGAGTTTAGGGTCGGGGCAGGGGGAGAAGAAATCGAGGGGGAAGGGGGAGGGAGTCTGGGTGGTTGCCGGCTGGGGTCTTGGTTCGTTTGGAGGTGGGGGTTTTGGAGGATGGCTGCGAGTGGGCATGGTGGAATGAAGGGGAGAAGAAAATCGCAGCGGTTTGGGAGAATTTTTACAGAGAAACAGAGAGAGAGAGAGAGAGAGAGAGAGAGAGAGAAATTTTTTGATTTTGGGTAAGGGAAATAAGGAAAAGGGTTGGAACAATGGTGTTTTGTTAGTTTCGAAAGACCCAGAAAAGCTTCGGGAAATTGCATTTAGGGAGTTTGTGAACTTGATTAAGGAAGAAAATGAAGTTTCTGAAGAGCTTTTGGTGAGGGGGGTGGGGGGGTTTCTGGGTTCGTGGGATATGGTTGCAGGTTGGGCTGTTGGAGCTTGATCAGAGAAAGAGAGAGATATTTTGTTTTAATTTTTTTTGGTTTTATGGTTTTTAATATTTTAATCAATTTAAAATTTAAATTAAAAAAAAAGTGGGACCATAGTGCCACGTAGGCAACTAACGGTGGAATCTGACGGAAACCTAACGGTGGAATCGGATTGTAAAAAATTTACAAGCTCGGGGTATGCGATTGTTAAAATTGAAAATATGGGGACTAACATGTCTTAAGGGTGTAAATACAGGGTACTAAATTGTAATTAACCCTAGGAAATATTTATAGCTTAAAAAAAATTGAAAAAAAAGAGAGGAGAAAACGGGTTCAGCACATTCTCAGTAACATGTTTCAGCCGTTGATAAAGAAGAAAAAATGTGGATAATATATTAAATTTACTACTAAAATCAGCTCATATTATCAACCTATTATTTCATTACAAAATCAGATTATTACCAAAACTTTTGGTATCAAAGAAGTAATTTCCATCCTATCCTTTCACCGGATATACGAATGTCATCCTAAATTCTGGCTGCCTTGCATGGATCGTCGGCGAATGACTCAATTATATCACAAGTTCTATGTCTGGACACGCAGCACAGATTCAGCCTTGCTGAAGATATGCAGGGTAGTCAAGATGAAACTCGTTTTAGCGGTCATCTTCATCTTTATCCAAGGATGCTGATAAATAACTCATGATGAAGCCATCTAGATCTCCCTCAAGGACAGAATCAGGATCCGAGACTTCGTAGTTTGTTCGAAGATCTTTCACCATCCGGTATGGCTGCATCAAAAGAAGCAATGAAAGTTAGTGTGGCTTAGGTTGTCAATGGCATGGAGGATAGGGATGGAAATTTTGTGCAGCTAGTAGTACTAGGGCGTACATGGAGCACGTAGCTACGTATCTGGCTGCCCCAGGTTATGTCAGTAAGAGATTGTGAATACTGTGCATTCATCTGAGTCTGGCGTGCCATCTCAAGCTGGTCTAGTCGCGACTGAAGAACAGCCATTGCTGAAGCTTTATTCATATGTTGTGATCTGTACATAGAAGAAAAATGAAACCCCATAACAAGGATGAAAGTTGGCAATTCTTAGTTCCAAACACAAAAAGCAAAAAATGAGTAAGAGTTGCACAAGAACATGCAAGTGCGTTTAATACCTCTCATTTTGACTAGTAGCAGTAATTCCTGTAGGAACGTGAACAATCCTCACAGCACTATCAGTTGTATTAGCGTGCTGGCCTCCAGGTCCCCCAGAACGAAATCGCTCAATGCGCAGATCAGAATCATTAATTTGTACATGAGCAGACGCGTCTTCGTTGATTGGAGTCACAGCAACAGCAGCAAATGAGGTATGCCTGCGCTTACTACTGTCAAAAGGTGAGATCCGTACCAACCTGTGCACTCCTACTTCTGCTTTGGCATATCCAAAAGCATACTCACCATCAACTTTAATTGTTGCCCGCTGCAAGAACATATTGATCTGAAGTCAGAAAACTAGTACAATCTTGAGTTAACAGGCTTTTACTGCAATATAGTCTGTGTGGGAGGGTGGATTGGCACATGCTTGCGATATGCTGATTTCTTCTACTTTACTGGGTAAAAATTACTACAGATGTTTCATGGATCCATTTGACGAATACGAAGGATCAGTTGACTAGAGGATGGTAAGAACTTGAACCTTGATTCCCGCAATCTCACCAGGCATTTCATCCACCACAGATATTTTATATCCACGTTGTTGAGCCCACATTTTATACATCTGCATGACCATTGCTGCCCAGTCATTGCTCTCTGTACCCCCAGCTCCTGCTTGAACCTACATTGCATCAAAATTTCAAGGGGCTTGCTCGGGATATATACAACCACAACTATGGTGTTCACCTTTATAACATCCGTGATAAGTACAAAATGCCAACCAACTATGCGCCGATACATGTTTCAAAGAATGTACGAAATTTTGATGCAGAATAACATGATGTAAATATCAAACGGACCTCTATGTAACATGAGCAAGGATCCTGCTCCCCAGCTAACAAAGCTTCAGTCTCCTTCTCCTTTGAAGCTCTTCTCATTTTAAGCAAAGCGTTCATGGATTCCTGCAAAGGAGAATCCACATAACTGAAAAGCACAATGCATGCTGTTCTGAAGTACCTTATTACTTAAATTAAGGGACCCAACTTTATGGTAAGGATTCAACAAAAGACCAATTTAATTGATGCTTCTTGAATTAATGTAGAGTGTTAAATTAACCGATGGCTAAATTCAATAATGAAAGCAGTTATTGGATTGATTCTAAGCAATGGTTTCAATTATATAGTGTGGGCATTGATTCAATAATGGATTTTTCACGATTTGGCATACATGACAAACTAATTATATAGTTCAAAGCACCAGTTCACATAGCAGATTACATCTTAAATTAAATCTACAATAACCAGTGAATAAAACATCAAATTGATGCTAATTGTTCAAGATGGCACAAACCATGAAACAGAGTGATAACATGCCTATGAGAAGTATTGAGGGCCCACCGATTCCAGCTCTGCATCATTCTCTTCACGGGCAAGCTTTACCATGTCTATATGCTCAAGCAATTCCCGCTCAAATGCCTTCACTTCTTTCATTTTACCCATAAGTGAACCATGCTCACGGCTTATCTTCCCTGCATGTACAGGATCATTCCAAAGGTCTGGTTTATTCACCTCCACTGATAACAGATCCAACCTAACCATCAACTTCTTCCACTGCCACCACAAACAGAAAACTTGTACTTAAAAATTAAGCCCAAGTAGGTCATATACAAACCCAAACCGAAATCCATTCAGCATTTAGTCACAAGAGTTATACTTCAGAGACTCAGCTAAAATGATTGAATCCCCAACATAAGCAACAAAATTAAGCTTCCAAATGAAACCCAAAAATTGCAGAGGAAAAATAACAAATCAGTCACATTCCATTACGTACAAGTCCTGATTGATTAATGAGCACAGGAACATAATAGAATGCTCTCATTATAAGTTGTACCTGCAAACGTTTCTTAATTAGATGAATGGATTGGGCAATTGCGGCAGCGTGACTCTTCCAATCACTCTCATCCTCATCCAGAATTGGCCAATCACTAGCAATGATTCGATCAACTGTAAGCCCATCACAGGTCGACGGCTCCATAGCAGCCTGAGTACCAAACAAGCAAACCAAGCTGCAAGGCGCGAGACCACCACGAGACGAATATAAACTTTTCACCATTGGAAGCCCCAAAACACCACACCCAGAAGCCAAAACCTTGTTTTCTGTGCTCAAATGCCAAAGACCTCGCCTTTGTGAACCAAACGAGATTGAAGACAGGAGACTACAATGAGACCCAGTGATGTTTTTCCCGGACGCAGAGCTTAAAGCCAGAGGCTTGGAGCCAGAAAAGAATATATTACTTGAAAAGGTGTGATTGTGGACAGACCCGAGTAGGGTTTTTGAGGTTTTTGAGATTGAATTTGATAAATTTTGAGGCTTTGAGGGTTTATTCAGTGTAGTGGGTTGGGGTTCAGATAGAGTGGAGAATAGTAAATAGGGAACAGACTGGGTTTTGGCTTCAGGGTTTTGACAGAGAACCACCCAGGATCCACTGCTTGCTCTCTTTTTGAACATGAAAGATGACATTTTCCTTCTCTAATTTTCTGGTATCTAACTGGGAAAGATATAGCAGAAAAATAAAAACTTTGTATTTGTTTCTCCGATGTTCGAGTTCGGGGTTTAACAGAGACTCAGATTTTGGTTTTTTAATTGGGTTAGTTTTGATTTGAAGACATTATATGTCAAAACGATGTCGTAGGTGGACTAGTACAATTTGTTGACAAAAATGCCCTTCCCTCTTCCTCTCCTCTCTCTCCAACCCGCCACTCTCTTCTTCACCCCCAAAGCCTTCGTTTTTCTCAGCCGCAGCTCAATCACCATGTCAGTCCAGTCCGACGCCATAAATCCCAGTTCCCAAAATGCCCTCCAAACCTCCCAGAATTACCCCGTGCCCCTCTCCCCGCCTCTGCCACCCATCTCAAAGCATATAGAGCTGGCGAGAGCCATGTCTGCCTCCTCCAAATCCAGCCTCTTTTCCCTCTCTAGAGACGACGTCGTTTTCGAGGACCAGTGGCTCATTGTTGTCAACAAACCTCAGGGTGTTTACTGTGAGAACGTGTTGGAATCGGTCCCTCAGCTTCTCTGTGACTCGGCCGAGTCAGGTTAGCTCCATTTTCTTTTGTTGGGCTGTTTTCAATCCTCTGGGTCAGCTTGTTGCTAATATATGTAGCGTGACGGTCAAGTTTTATGTATTTTAATGGACTTAGCGGGATTAGAGTTCGAAAAATCGGCCTAGGCGGCCGCCTAGGCGCTATTTTTCCTGACTTTAAAGAAAACGCCTCTCTCTCCTCTGAGCAGTCGCCTCCTCTCTCTCTCTCTCTCTCTCTCTCTCATTTCAAGTATTTCTCTTTGGAGTACTATTATATGTTTTATGCTTACTCCTACCGCCTAGCATTTTTGGAACATTCTGAAATACTATAGATTATTAGGCTCAAAGGCATCATCTTTACCCGTTCTGTTTTAGTATTTACTAAATAGATGAAGCTTTGTGTTCAATTGTGCTAGCATTTGGCTGATTGGCTGTGTTTCTTGTATTTTAATGGACTTAGCGGGATTAGAGTTCGAAAAATCGGCCTAGGCGGGTCTGGGAGGATTTTTTTTCCTGACTTTAAAGAAAACGCCTCTCTCTCCTCTGAGCAGTCGCCTCCTCTCTCTCTCTCTCTCTCTCTCTCTCATTTCAAGTATTTCTCTTTGGAGTACTATTATATGTTTTATGCTTACTCCTACCGCCTAGCATTTTTGGAACATTCTGAAATACTATAGATTATTAGGCTCAAAGGCATCATCTTTACCCGTTCTGTTTTAGTATTTACTAAATAGATGAAGCTTTGTGTTCAATTGTGCTAGCATTTGGCTGATTGGCTGTGTTTCACTTATGCACAAATTTTCTCGTTTTGTTGATATGTTTGAAATTTGCTTCTCAGCAATATGAGCTTTCTTTCCGTTGGCCATTCTACTAGAGTTATCGGTAATGTACTTGCTAAATAGTTATCATATATTGCTAAAAAAGTTTATCTGAGATATACTGATACTGGATTTTTGTCGCTTTAGTCTTAAATGCATACAAATCCTTCAATTTTGAATAAAATATAAAACCAATGTACTAACTATGGACCTGAGATGGTTCAAGTCCTTCAGATGGGTTTGTATAACCAAAAAAAAAGTTATGTAGTTGATGCCCTTTTCTTCTTTTCTTCCTTTTTGCTGAAAACTCATGTAATCAATCCTAATTAGCTGGGATAAGGGTTTAGTTTTGTTGTAGATTCTCCAGTCAATTGGCACCGAGTTCAGTTCATTCTAAAATGGTCTAATAGGCATAATCAGATTCAGGAAAAGCTGTCTATTTCATCTGATATGCGAGTGCTGACTACTTAAACCTTATGGTGGGCAGAAAAGAAGTTTTTGAAAGAGTTGAGTTTTGTTACTCTTTTGTTAACATTGATCAAAGTTCAAATTATCAGTTGCAGGGACCCCGGCCAACCAGCTAGAACTCCATCTTGCAAATCGGCTTGATCGTGACACTAGTGGGCTAATGGTAATAACCAAGTCACACAAAGTAGCTTCCAAGCTCGTGAAGGCATTTACTGATCACAAGATTTTGAAAACATACATTGCACGCTGCATTGGTTCAGCCCCGAAATGGGAAAGAATCACCCTTAAATCAGGTCATGGTCGGTCAAAATTTGGGGCCTGGCGAGTGTATGCTGCTTCAGATGTAGGCCGGACACTTCCAGGTGGATCAATGGTCAGAGACATGGAAACATCCTTTGAAGTATTATCAATAAATGGACAAGGGAGCTTGAAAGAGCCATCTGAATTTAAGAAAGATGAAGCAAATACTGTCGTAGTTCAAGAGAAAGCTGTAATAGATAAAGACACAAAGAAGGATGAGATTTTGGTGAGAGCGCGTCCTAGGAGTGGACGAACACATCAAATCCGCCTGCATTGCCAGTATCTTGGAATTTCCATAAGAGGGGATGTCAAGTATGAGGGCGTGTACGAGTGGAAAGGGAGAACTTATGATGGCCATGAACTTCATGCAGAGAGCTTGTCTTTTGAGCACCCTGTTACTGGTCTTCCAGTAATGTTTCAGGCACCTGTACCTTCTTGGGCCAGCCAGGCTTTGCAGCCCTAGTTAAGTGAGTCTAATGGTTCTCGGTGTTCATTTTCCGGTTTTGAGAAGATCGATCTTCCAAATTATGGGCAGGTTTCATGCATAAAAAATGAGAAAGCATAGCATAGAGTTCTAGTGTGCATCTCTGACTGCAGTTGGCAACTTGATTCTATGTGAAGGGAACTGTGTTTTCTTGATTCCTACTTCAACATGGTTACTATTATCTACCGGAAAAGGTTTTAGGTTTGATGCTGAAAGAAAGCATACAATTGTCTCCAGTTTGCAACAGAAGCCTTCTCTTCACCTCACCATCAGCTCCTTATATTCAGCTTTGTATGATCATCCTGGGAGAATGGTTTGGGATTGAAATGTCAAAAACTCTTGAAAGTAAACAAGTTGCCTGTTGTACCATGTTTTCTTCTCAATTTGCAATTACCATCATATGCATGCATGTAGTGCTTTGAAAACAACAAATTAACTTTGAAATTACCAATTTCCAAGAAGCCTACAATCATTGAATTAGCTGAAAATTTTACCGTTTTATATGACTCTGCACATTTTTATCATTATCATACCAAAGAAAGGTAGAGTGATCATGAAGGTAGAAAAGTCCAATCTGTAGGTTCAGTGGTTGAGCTCCAAGTCTCAATCCTGAGTGTGAATGCGTGGCAAGCTCATCTTGGTCACAATATTATAATTATAATTTTGTTTTAATAATTCGGAATCTCAAAGGCTCCAATGGGGGAAAACGTGGTGGTTTTTTTAGAATACAATCAAAGATTTTTTCTGTCATACTGTATGATTTATCAACCTTAGGTAGAGGCTACGAAAAGGAAAGGAAAATTCGCAACAATATTTTTCGAGAATTTTGTTGACTTTTTTATTTTATTTTTTGGGTACAAATGTTTCTTTACTGCAATTTGAAGTTATTTGGAATTCAAGTTAGCATCACATTATGCATTAAAATACAATTGCGTACGGAGGAAATAAAGCTGCCATAAGAAAATGGTAAAGAATCCTTCTTTTTGTATTTGTTTCGTATACCACCGACATCAAAGAAACAGTCTTGATATTTCCTGCAAAATCATAATTTCAATCCCTAATCACCAACACCAACTTACTTAATTTCAATCCCAATCAACATAATTTAAATGTTTCCTCTGATGTCAAATCAAATAAAGGTGCAACTTACATTAACATAATAAGAAGATAAACGTTCTGGACAAAAAAGTAATTTTATTAAACTTGGGGCAGAAACTACTACATAAAAAACCATTTTAACTTTCATTAAAAAACACCTTCACCCCAAGACCTTCTAGGCCTCCTTCCTTTGAACAAGAAAATTGTGATTTACAGAGTAATTATTGAGCTTGTGTTTATCCATGGGGCTGGTGCTGATTTGGCCAACTCTATCCATCCATCAATGAGAAAAAGTATTGTCCTTTGGGATAGAGACGTCTCTGACGCAACATCTACCTATTAATCAAAACAACCAGTTGTGCTCAGTCCAAGGTTAAGAAGAATCTACCCCAAGCCTCACCTGCCTTTCAAACCAGCCAGCTTTATGGACTCCAATGGCCATGCAATGCAAACCCACTAAGATATTATGATCATTTGGATAATGCAAATCTAGCTTAAGAGGCTGCAGTTCAAAACCCAGCTTTGCTTGCTTCTTTGCCATATATATTTGTGCATGCTCAGAAAGCTAAAAGGAACCATTTGTCTTCGGAGATTTTGGAAATGGGTTTGCTAAGTGAAGGCCTAACTCAGCTTCTGATCCCTTTGGCTGCCCTTGTTGGACTTGCTTTTGCTTTGCTTCAGTGGTTTTTGGTCTCAAGGGTGAAGGTCTCTGGTAGCTATGGTGAGGGGAATGGCTATAAGGACAAGTTGATTGGAGAAGCAGAAGAGGGTGTTGACAGCCTTGAGGTTACCACCAAGGTTGCTGAAATTCAAAATGCCATTTCTATTGGTAAGCTCTCTCTCTCTCTCTGTCTCTGTCTCTCTCTGTTCTTTGATATTTGTGTTTTAAATCCTCTGCTTAAGATGGTTATGCTTAAGGGGATCTAGTTCTTAAAACTGTTTTACATTTTTTTCCCCATTTCATACCACCGACTATAAGATGCATCCTAGCATGTCCATTTTTATGATAAGTTGCTTTAAGAAATCATGTCAGTGAAGTTTCATGGTTGCTGCTCTTTTGTGACAGTAAATTCTTCTATCTCTGAGTTTGTTTTTGCTCTGTTTCTTTTCTTTTTCTATATTTGTAAACTTACTATTGTTTTTTCAGTACTCCTAAACATTCTTGGACTTACCGTTTTTTTCTTTTGGATGTGGTCATGAATTTCTATACTTCTAAATGTTGATTTACTCTGTTGTTGTTTGATCCTTGAGATAATTCCAGAAACTTATAAAAAATAGTAGACAAATTGTTCAAGAGGGAATTTCCTTATTTTGTCTTTTGTGTAATTTTTTTTCCTTTATTTTGTTGCCATACTTTTAGTTTATACATGTTAATGGTTCCA